TCCCATCCTGAGACTCTGGTGTTTGGTGAGAGTAGTGCTAGTAGTTTCTCTATCCTTTCGCTGTCCTGCAGTTCCCAGGATTCCCTGGGGCAAAGGAATGGCTGTTTAAATGAATTTGTGCCTTTTTTTTTTTAAAGAGAAGCAAGAACTTCCAGCACAATGTTGTATGTGTTTATTCAGAAGTAAGTACCACTGTGTTCAGCAGGGCAAATTTTCTAGACCTGCAGCCTAAACCACTGGGCTAAAGGGAGCATCTTCTAAAAATGTTCTTAAATATTGTACTTTGCTTTGGAGATTCTAGCTGGGAATGAACAGTGGGATGTTTGGGATGGTGGAGTAAAATGCCATAGTGGTGATTTTGGAGTGGTGGAGGAGAATGTTTGGGGTATCCTGGGAATACCCTATCTTTATGAGGGGAAAAGGAATGGCATTTTTATTTTTTCTGATCACATTTAAGTATGCTACCCACTTTCCAATGAGCTCAGGGCATCCATGAGATTAAGTGTGGGGTTGGGGACCTCTCCTCTTCCACCTCCAAGGGCTGGATTATGTCCTGAGTGACCTTTGGGTGAGGGGGCGGGCACATGCCACAGAAAGGCAGAGCAAGAGGGAGAAAAAAGATGGAGCAAAGGATGTGAGCCTCATCTTGTATAATAGGTCTTCTGGTGGTTCCCTCACAGCAAGAAGTGAAGTTACAGGGAACCAGGCCTTCTCGGTAGTGGCGCCCGCCCTGTGGAACACCCTCCTTTCAGATGTCAAGGAGATTAAGAACTACATAACTTTTAGAAGACATCTGAAGGCAGCCCTGCATTGGGAAGGTTTTAATGTTTCATGCTTTGTTATATTTTTTATATTCTGTAAGCCGCCCAGAGTGGTTGGGGAAACCCAGCCAGATGGGTGGAATATAAATAATAAAATGATGGTGATGATGATCAGTGCTTTTTTCTAAAAAAAATTTTTAGGGATACTCTCATTTTACTACTCATATTGAAGTACTGCCCCACAACGAAGCCAAACTTAGATTCACAAAATTCTGCTTACCCCCAGAAAAAAGCACTGATTATTTTGATGAAGGGGGACACATGGGTGTGACTGAGGACAGACTGAAATTGGTGGGGCACTGCCTGATTTGCCCCAAGGAACCAACCTCCACTGTTTGTATTCCAGCCACACAAAAGTCAGAGATTCCTATACATACATTGACCCACCTCTTCATTCTCCTCCCATGCAATATCACAGCTCAAGGACACATTCCACTAAAAGCACTTGAGGCTACACAGCAGAATCAATGGGTGTGAGTCCCAGGTGAAGGCAGTGTGATATGAGGGCCAGCTAGAGAGGTCTGGGGGGCCATATTGAGTCTCTGGGCCTCATGTTCCCGTCCACTAGGCCAGCCCATTCTGTTCTTAGTCTATTCCCATGAAGTAGGCTAGGTAAAGTAATAGAGACTTTGCTTAAACTCATAGGGAGAGTTTCCTGGCTGAGTGAGGATTTGAACCCAGAACTCCTTGCTTCCTGCCCATGATGCTGTTCACTACCCGGTAGTGCCACTCAAGATATTAAAACAATAGCAGGCACTGCGCTTGACTAAAGCTGTAAAAATGCCAAGGAGCAGATCAAAGTTCAAGGGAAGCACTAAAATACCTTGTGTCTGGTTTGAAATACTTAACAGGCTCCTTCTACTTTTGGGACAAAGGAAGAGGCATATCTGTGCTATATTTAGGGAGTGTTTTAACAGGAACTCTGGGGAGTAAAATAAAAATGCTGTTTGGGAGGAGTGAGATGGAGGCTTTGTAAGGAGAGGAAAAAGAAGGGGAGGAAAAAAAGATGGCAAGAGCTTTGCAAGAATTCCTACTGCTGAGGAATTGCTTGCTGGCAATTTTCTCTTTCCTTTTCTGCTGGCACGTTTGATGATGATTAAATGTGTTAACTTGTAAAACACTTAATATGCATGAGGCACTGTACATTAATTAAAAACAATAACAAGGGCAGTCTTGGAAATAAATTCACCTGCATGCTCCCATGTTAGTCATTTCTGGCTTGAGTGAGTGAGTGAGAGAGAAAAAACTGAATTTCAGAAAGCTTCCTATCTAGTCACCTTGATGAGATTTTTAATTCACCCCAGGCAACCAGGCAACTGGCTGTTTAGAAGCTTGCCCTGAGCCAAGTTATAACACCCTTAATAAAGACAGATATCTTATTTTGGCACTGAAGCTTCCAGAGAAACATTATCAAATGCAGGAAATCCGAATGCTGTCTCTCTGAATTGCTGTTAGCATCACAGGTTGTAACTGACGGTCCCTGGATTTGTATATCTACCTCCGTCATTTGACAGATGATAACAGGTATGCTTGTTTCCAGATTAAGCAGACAGATGGTTTGCAGGAAAGGTGTTGAGCGTGCCCTCTTTCTGCAGGTTTGCTGGCAGACTTATGATTTATTAACTGAGGTGTGAAGATTTCATTGCTGTGAAGGAATCCCTTCTTTTAAAAAAGATTTAGGGAAATCTGAACAGGGTTTTAGGTGGCGGGAAAGGAGATAATTGGGAGTGGTTCTCTATATGGGGTCCCCAGATCTGTCTTGGGCCAGGCCTGCTTCATTTTGCAAAACATTGTGGTTTTTTAGGATGGATATTTCTACTGTTTATTGTTTCCTCTTAGGAAAAGTGCTCCAGTTCCCAGATCATGTTAGGCCTGTTCATATATTTAGGCCTCTTTGGGCCATAACAACTTGGGACTCAAGGGGCGTTTGCTGTTTCCTTTGCACCCAGCCCCCCCCCTTGCAAAAGTTCAGATGATGCCGTTCCCTGTGAATCTTGCTGTCCGATGAACAAACTGTCTTCATTTGGATGATTGATTGCGTGTCTAGCATTTAATTCTGGCATCCGCTCCAGCCTGTTGGCTAAGCTTAACTCGAAAAGATGGACCTGAACCAAAATTAGAGCAGGGTCAAACCACCAGGGCTTTGAGGCCTGCTCAAAACAGCCAGACACATTTCATGGAGCTCTTTGCCGGGGTCTTGTGGAGGTCTGAGCTGTGGTGGGGAGGGGAGAGACTGGCACCCCTCCATCCCCAACCGGGCATCTCGGCCCAGTTGGTCACGCTTTATAAAACCCTGAAGAAGTCAAAGCGAGCTGAGAAGTGAATGAAAAATATTGGAGGCCCCCACATATGTTCCGCAGGAGCAGGAAAGAAGGCTGAGAAAGATCACCATCATCTCTCCCGTGGGTTGGCAAACTAAGGCCGACGGGCCAGATCATGCCCAATTGCTTTCTAGATCCAGCCACAGATGGTCCAGGAATCCAGTCAGCCAGCATAGTGTGTGTGTGTGCATGTGATGGTTTTTGCGACTCAGCCAGGCTTGGGGGTCAAAAGTGAGGTGGGCATCTGCTCAAGACAAGCCCCTTCTCCACCTGTCGTGCGCATGCAGCAATCTTTTCTTCCAGGGTTGGGGGTGGGAAAGAGGGAAAAGGAGCCACAGTTCGGATTTCCACCATGGAGCTGCTGGCGACTGACCTCAGAAAGGGCAGTTGTGACGGCGGGGGCTCAGAGGCACCTAAGGAGCGATGCCCGCCAGTGTCTGTGGCGGCAGTGCTCCCCGCCTGAGGAAGTGGGGAGTTCCTGGGTGGCTGCACTCCGAAGCAGTTCTGTGCTCTGCTGGGGAGGCCGCTTGTTAGCTACACGGTGAAAGCCATGGAATGGTAAATAGTCACCGCCGCCTCAACTTCCCTCACACGGGGAAAAGAACGTTTTTGCTTGAGCGGCACCAACCTGACTTAGCGTGGCCAACGGCTTTTCCCTTCACCCACGCATGCACACACACTCTCCCAGGGCTGACAGGAATGGCGTGCTTACCTCAGCCCCCCACCCTGCCTTATGAGAGAAATAATAACTGTCAATGTGTAAAATGTAAAGGAAGCAGCGTGGGTGTATGAGGGAACACCCCCCCCCAAAAAAATCACATTTGGGCAACATTGAGGTTGGTCCCAATAAGGGTTTTTGCCAAAAAATGCGGGTCATAATCATGGCAACATATAGTCCACCCCCCCAAGGTCTGAGGGAAAGAGGACCACCCCCCTGCTGAAAAAGTTTGCTGACCCCTGATAATAAATAATAATAATAATAATTTATTATTTATACCCCATCCATCTGGCTCGGTTTCCCCAGCCACTCTGGGTGGCTTCCAACAAAATATTAAAATACAACGATCTGTTAAACATTAAAAGCTTTCCTAAACAGGGCTGCCTTCAGATGTCTTCTTAATAATGGGCATTGTCACATTTAGTAGGTTTGTGTGTGCGTATATGTGACGGAGGACATGGGTAAAGGAAGGTTCAAATAGCTCTGAGTTGTGGGAAGGCAGCTCCAGGAAACACAGGGAGATGGAGAGATGGAGGGGGAGAGTGAAACCTGTGAAGGGGGTGTAGAGTCTGCCTTCGTCATTAGCATTCTCTGGCGCTTGGAGATGCAGATTGCAAATGGGAGTTGGGGAGGCTTTCTTTCTTCACAGTTTTTATATATAGGTCAGAGGTGTAGAAGGAAGTGGGAGGGGAGACCATCAACTTGGTCTCTGTGTTTTGCAGTTTTAAGTAGGAGGGAGCGGGCGGTGGAAGCTTGCACAGGGAAGAAAACACAACCAATTTTGTTCTCCCATGTATACAGTGCCACCAATGTGCAATCATGTCGCAGAGAAGTTGTGGCTTACTGATCATAGCCAAAGGGTCAGGATGTCTGGAGCTTCAGCAGAAAACCTACAAGTGGTGAGGGGTGGAAATGAGGCAGGGGGAGGGATCTAAACTCCTTCCCTTCACCAAATATTTTGTTCTGCTTACATATTTATTGCATTCATACTCCAAGGTGGCATCGATGGCTCTTCCATCTCCTGCATAGATGACTTTTTGGGTCACTATCAGATCTACATTTCTATGATTCTATAACCCCAACAATAACCTTGTAAGGCTGGGAGGTGGTGGCTGGCCCAAGGTCACCCAGTGAGCTTTGTGGCCAACTGGGGATTTGAACCCCAGTCTTCCAGGTCCTAGTCTGACACTCTAACCACTACAGCATCCTGGCTGTTACAAAGGCCCTTAGTTCCCTTTGCCAACACTGCTGCACATGGAGAAGGGCCACACTTAAGTGGCAGAGGATTTCCTTTGCATGCCAGAAGGTCCCAGGTCCAATCCTGCAATTACATATGCAGGTAGCATGGGAATGTCCTCTGAATGAAACCTTGGAGAGTCACTGCTAGTCATCGTAGACAATAGGGCTGGCCGAAATCTGGTTTTCAACATCACGATATAGTGCCAGCTAAACATTGTGATACACCGATATATCACAATGTCTAAAATACCGATGAAACTACATAGAGGTGAATGGGGTGATGTCCTGGCAACTGCTACTACTTAGGAGTCTAAAACCGATACATTTTCACTTACATTTAACATTTTGTTAACACTGTTATTTTAGAAAACAGAGCAATGGGGGGAAGGCGGGTAGGACTCATGAGAGAAGCAATGTCCAGCTTCACAATTGTTTACATAGCACACACAAACATTGTGATCCGTGATACTGTATATTGCCAGGTCAAATATTATGAGACTGTTATTCCAAACTGGTTATATACAAACTGGTTATATTGATATGTCGCCCAACCCTAGTAGACAATGCTGAGGTAGATGGACTCAGTATGAGGCAGACCGGTGAACAGAAGCATGATTGTCACTGTAAGAGGTCCTGGGCTCAGATCCTAAATAAAGCCCTGCCTGAGACTGGAGGTAAGTGGAGGAGAAGACACAGCTTTATAAACTGGGCAGAAGAGTTGTAGCTCCATGTTGGAACACATGAGATGCATGCAGAAAGCCCCCAAGTTCAATCCATATCATCTCCAGTTAAGACTGGGACAGATGTAGGAACATAGTATACGGCAGCTACACCCTTTCCCCACTAGTTGTTTCTGACCTCCAAATGCACGAGACTACAACCCAATCCCTAAATGGTGGCTGGTTTCAGAAGGTGCAGCTTGTAGGAGCCCAGCCGTTTCCTCTTTAGCGTCTTGGCACCTTAGAGGATGAGGTCAGGGTCGTGGTAGACAATACTGAGATGGATGGACCAATGGCCCTGACTCATATTAAGACAGCTTCCTTTGCTATTATGCTAGTACATAAGAAAAGCCTGCTGGATCAATAATTATAATAAAAACAATACATTTTATTTCTATCCCACCCTCCCCAGCCAAGATTGGCCTCAGGGCGGCTAACACCAGATATAAAAACAGTTGATTGAAATACAACTTAAAAAACAAGATTAAAATACAACATTAAAATGCAGCCTCCTTTCAGTAGAAACTCAAATCAAAAACTTTTTGGGGGATGAAAACATCAAGTCTTCACCAAACCAGATGCCCCAATGGGAATCATAGAAACAGAATTGTAGAGTTGGAAGGGACCCTGAGGAACATCTAGTCCAACCCCCCAGCAATGCAGGAATATGCAGCTGTCCCATACGGGGATCAAACCTGCAACCTTGGCATTATCAGCACCACACTCCAACCAACTGAACTATCCATTGGACTGCAATGAGAAGCCCACAAACAGGACCTGAGCACAACAGCTCTGTCCCCACTTGAGATTTCCATCAACTGGTATTCAGGGCCATACTACCTCTGACAATGGAGGGCAGAACATTGCCATCAGGGTAAGTAGTCCCTATTTTCAAGCCACCTCAACTCCTCTTGGAACATTCTGCTGCTGCTGCAACGCTCACAGCTGCAAGAAACATCCTCACAACACCCCATGAGCAAATAGGTCAAGCTATTCTTTGAAATGAGAGGCAGGGCTCATTACTCAGAAGCAAACCTGACTTGTGAGGAGGGGTTAAGCCATTTTTGCTGCATCAGCGATAACACTCACACCTGATCTGGATAACAGAGGGAATGCTTCTTACTAGCTCTGCTTTGAATGCAGGTCACACCCATCTGCCGGAGATGGGTTTTGTGTCCCAGGAATATGTGGGCCAGGAGAGGGAGAAAGGAAGTCAGTTGAATTGGGTCACAGAGAGTAGCTGGAGATTTTGCTGGCAAGAAGAGAACATGGGTGTGGTCAGGAGGCTGCCACTGCCAATTTTGGGGGGCGGGTGGGGGGAGAAGGGAATGGTGCCTTGATGCTTCTGGGTGTCCCTGCTTCTTCCATTTTCAACCTGTGCTGTTTAAATGCTCACTCTTGCAAAAGGTGCATTAGTCATTGGTTTCACAGCACAAGACCTTGGAACTGACTCCCACTTAGTAGAACACCTTTGGTTTGTGATGACCTTTAAAGCCCTAAGCAGCCTTGGCCATATATACCTGAAGGAGTGTCTCCACCACCATCACCCAGCCCAGACAGTGAGATCCAGCTCTGAAGGCCTTCTGGTGGTTCCCTCACTTCAAGAGAGAGCCAGTGTGGTGTAGCGGTTAAGAGCGGTGGACTCATAATCTGGTGAACCGGGTTCGCGTCTCCGCTCCTCCACATGCAGCTGCTGGGTGACGTTGGGCCAGTCACACTTCTCTGAAGTCTCTCAGCCCCACTCACCTCACAGAGTGTTTGTTGTGGGAGAGAAAGGGAAAGGAGAATGTTAGCCACTTTGAGACACCTTCGGGTAGTGATAAAGCGGAGTATCAAATCCAAACTCTTCTTCTTCAAGAAGTGAGGTTACAGGGAACCAGTCAGACGGCCTTCTCAGTAGTGGCGCCCGCCCTGTGGAACAACCTCCCATCAGATTTCAAGGAGATGAGTAACCACACAATCTTGAGAAGTCACCTGAAGGCAGCCCTGTACTTTTTCATGTTTGATGTTTTATTAGGTCCTGTATATGCTGGAAGCCATCCAGAATGACTGGGTCAACCCAGCTGGATGGACGGGGGTACAAATATTAGAATTATTGTTCTTATTTTCAGGCAAAAGTGGGAGCATCCTGTTTCCACAGTAGCCAACTAGAGGCTTATGGGAAGCCTACAAGCAGGACCTGAGCCCTCTCCCCATTTGTGTTTCCCAGCAACTAGTTTTCAGAGACATACTCAATGGTAGCCATCCTGGCTAGTAGCCATCAAAGACTGGCAGAATTGGGAGTTTTAAACTCAATACAACAGCCCAGTCAGTTAAGCAGGACTGGTTGTCACTATTCCAGCCAATACTGGCTTCTGCTAAAGAGGTGTCAGAACATTATTAACCGCCCCCTTCCTCCCAAGCAGGCAGCTTGCATTTCTGAGTGTTGATTTGTCAGAGGCTAGTTCCCCGCCTCCTTTGTGTAACCTAGGAACACGTTAGCACACATGCCAGATTCAGGGTTTCCAGCCTAATGAAACATGAACAGGTTTATGGTAATTGCTTCTAATCCAGAGCATATGCTGTCGAAGCACAGCTGAGAAAGTTCTTGTAAGCAACAGCAGAGAAACTGTCGCTTTCGGCTGCAAGGGATCACTTTGCCAACGATCCGGGTGAAAGCTCACCACCCACTGAGCTGAATGCAGCAGCAGCAACAACAATAAAGTTGGGTATGTAAAGAGAATGGCAAAGAAGTGCACCCCATTTGCTGCATCAAGGGAGAGATATCCACTCTGTGTAGTGGAGGTAAAAGCTTAGAAAAGAAGGAAATTTGACACTCCCGATGCTCACTTCTTCTCACTGTAAATCATCTCCACTCTTAGGAACCAAGTTAAATACCGTATTTTTTGCTCTATAAGACTCACTTTTTCCCTCCTAAAAAGTAAGGGGAAATGTGTGTGCGTCTTATGGAGCGAATGCAGGCTGCACAGCTATCCCAGAAGCCAGAACAGCAAGAGGGATTGCTGCTTTCACTGCACAGCGATCCCTCTTGCTGTTCTGGCTTCTGAGATTCAGAATATTTTTTTTCTTGTTTTCCTCCTCCAAAAACTAGGTGCGTCTTGTGGTCTGGTGCGCCTTATAGAGCGGAAAATACGGTACTTTATGCCATGTCAGGTCAACAGATCCTCTAGCACAGTAGCCTAGGTTCAATTCACAGATTTTCCAGGTAGGGCTGGGAGAGAGTCCCTGTCTGAAACCCTGGAGAGCTGCTGCCAGTCCGTGTACACAACACTGGGCTTGATGGACTGTTGACCTGACTTGGCAGAAAGCACCTTCCTCTGTTCTTATGAGGTTCCTTTCCTTCTCTGTGTGGCTAGTTGTCTTGTATCAAGAGCTCCCATTCCGTATTTGTGTGTAAATTTCAGGAATGTCTACTCAGTCCCTTGGATTCCCTCTGTCCCACATATGGTTTCCATTGCCTTGTTGGAAATTACTGATATCTGTGACATATCTGCAAGTTTGAATTGCTATCTCATTCCATCTCCTGCTCTCTGTGCTACAATTCCTCTCCCTAATTGCTTTCTGAGCAGGCTCTCCAAATCTGGAAAGAGGTGAAGATTTGCAAGTACAGAGCGAACTGTGTCACAAATGCTATGTTTTTATGATCATTACCTTGACAAATCACAATTACACCCTATGGTTATGCTGATAATTACCAGGCTAGATTCATTTGTGTGTGGTGGTTCTTCTTTTTTTAAAAAATTGGCAACCTTAATTTATCCTCTAAATGCGGAAACTTTCCTAATACAGTATGGCTATTTCTGTTCATCAGTTGTGTGCAGAACAGGGTATGTAAAAAGGCAAATATTTGATCCTTCATTGCCCTGTTACTGGAGAGAAAGCATAGCCCCTCAAAGCTCTTTATGACACAGCAGCTCCTTTTTCATTTTCAGTTACTGAATTTTATGACTTCCCAATACTTAAGGTATTCAGTTCTTCGTGCCTGTAGTTACTAAAATATATAATTTCATAAAGTCCAACCACAAATTATTTATGGCTTCTCAGAAAGTAATAATGAGTGGTTGTCTATGTCATCTCTCCCCCCCCCCCCCGATGCCCATTCAAGTCTGCATCAGAAATAATTCAAAGGAACTGGATAATTCTGCTAAATACTTTCCTGAAGATTTGTAAAAACAAAAAACCCTCAGCAATAAAATAATTCAAGGTCTGAATCTGAGCGGTGTGCTGAGCAGGCCTTACACCCTATGACAGAGGA